CTTTTTAAGTGATTTGGATCAGTATAGTCTTTTTTTCCCCTATTTTCTGGCTCCCACCAACTCCACCTCAAGCCAGCAATCATGGAAGTGTATACTATACCCTTATTTTGTATTAAATTCTTTACACAAGAGGGAGGTTAATAACCCCTATTGGGTAAGAACAACAAATAAGAACCAGCATTTCCTCAGTGGTTCCAGGCTGACCCTGGCTGAGCTCAGGAGATGAAAAGTCTGTGGTTCTGCATGTGACTCCAGCTCATCTAAGAGTCACTCAAGAAATGCTGGAAACCTCAAACATGCTGATTGACTTCTCTACCAGGATACCAACTACTCACACAATCATACCAAAGCCAACAGAATGTGGTCCTAGTCAAAACCAGAGGTCAGACCCGAGCTGCCTTGGAATGATAATCCGTCCTACCCTTTCTCAGATAGCAATGCTGTTGACACAGGTACATACAGATAAGAAATGCTGAGAACAGCACACGCCAGCAGATAGCTCTAGCCACTATAAAAGTTTAGCAACTTCTTCCCGGCAGTAGTAAAGGCAGTTCTTGGGAATGCACACATGTTAGTGCACAAAATGCCCCATGTGAGCACCAGGAGCTAGCACTTGCATTTATGCTGGAGTAAGTTTTGTCATTTCATTTTCTGGATACGATGATTATGAAAATAAGGATCTAAGCCCTCTGAATATTTTGATCACCTCTTTGGTGACCTTCCTTCTGTTTGAAGTAAATATGATGTAATAAATCACAGGTGCTAGGTAGTAATTAGCAATGTAATTTCTGCTCTGGTGGGATGAAGTTTCCCCTAAGACGAGGGATTGTGAGGATGGGGGGAAAGACTTTGTGATGAGGCTCTGATGGCTGTGGCTTTGGCTTTCTAGCCCCTTCCTAGTGTTGCATAGAAGACATGTGGAGAGAACATGGTGGGCTGGTGCAGGGAGAGTGTGCTCAACCCTGCATCATCTTCAGAGATCAACAATGAGATCATGCGCTCTCAAGTTTGATAGGCAGAACATTATAGGTTATGGCCATGACATATGGACACAAACAGCACAGCAGTGAAGTGAGGTTCCAAAAGATTTCACCAGCCTCGCTTGCTCACTTGTTCCTTCTTGTTTCCAGTAATGGGGCTTGAACTCAGAGCTTGGACTCTGTCCCTTAGCTTTTCACTCAAGGCTGGCACTCTATTACTTGAGCCACACTTCTGATTTTTGGTGATTTATTGGAGATAAGAGTCTCATAGAACTTCCTGTCTGGGTTGGATTTGAACCATGATCCTCATATGTCAGCCTCCTGAATAGTTAGAATTACAGGTGTGAGCTACCAGCATCCGGCTGGCATTCTTGAAATGGGAGGTCTTATGAACAGAAAATCTAGACAAGCACTGTGGACAGAGAACCATAAATGGCAAAGCAAGTCTCCCTGTGACTGGCCGCCTGCAGCCTTCTCAGATGAAGTCAAGAAAGTTACCAAAACTTGGAAGAGAATGAGTCACAAAACAGAGTAGGTTGCTGAGCTCAGGGAAACAGGGACGGTCACCTGAGGATACAGCCAGTCGGAGGTCATCTGACAGGGAAGGGACCAGAAAAACAAATACTTTTCCTCCCTCCCTCTAATCTGCCCTCCTTCACAAACCCAAATAAAGCCATGGCAGGCCACTGGGGACATGACAGGATCCAGGCAGGTCAACATTAAAAGCTGACAGAGGCAGGCCTGAGGAGAGAGGGATGGAACTAGCAAGTAACTGAGCAGCATCTGAACATTGTTCTTGAAGACCAAGATAGCTCTTCCGAGACTCATTCAACAAATATTTAATTTCTACTTTGTGGAGCGCATCATGGGAAAAGCAGGGGATTCTGGGATAGTAGCATCTCCCAAGTACTTGCTGAGCGATAAGCAAATGATATTCCTATGGTATCCCATACCATCCCAAATGGTATCCCCAGGCTGTGCAGAAGAACAAGCTTTCCCAAGGCCACAACTAGTAAGGAGCAGAAGCCAGAATGGGTCTTTATGCACTGCCCCCTTGAAGCAGTGAGAGAGTGAATTTCGGTGAATTTTCAGAGAGAGTGAATTTCCCTTCTTAGAGCAAGGTCTAAAATAACATCTGAAATGCTCTGAAGTGGGCAAACATGCAAGGCCATCCGGTGTGAGGCCCTGGGGCCACACTGAGCCAGACAAGTGGAAAGAGCCACAACACAGCCTGACAGGAACCGGAAGGAATCCTCCCATGGGGGTTGGGGGAGCGGGAGGCTGCAGGTCACATGGATCTGGGCTGCACCCTGAGCTCCTCAGGCAGAGCTGTGGTCTTTTTTTGTGGGAGAGGGCCTGGGCTTACCGGGAATGAAAATGCAGGGTAGGAAGGGCCTGGTAAGGGGAATAAGGTACGATCCTGGGGAAGGGAGCCAGGCACACTTTAGCACACTTTCTTTTTTGGGGGGGTGAGGGGGATCCGGTCATGGGGCCTGAACTCTGGGCCTGGGCGCTGTCCCTCAGCTCTTCAGCTCAAGGCTAGCACTCTACCACTTGAGCCACAGCACCACTTCCGGCGCTTCGAATCCAGGGCCTCATGCATGCAAGGCAAGCACTCTACCACTGAGCCACCTTCCCAGCCCCTTCAGCACACTTCCTTAAGCATCTCCAGCTGCTGCATTTGGGTTCTACTCTGAAGTGCAGTGCTGTGTGAGCCAGCCAAGTGATGACATTTACCCATGGTAATCCTTCAGGCAACAAAACATGGCAGCACGCATGGGCTTCTCACAGTGGGGCTCATGGTCCACAGCCTCCAGCTAAGACTTCCAGTTGGCTAAGAAAGACAAATCCTCAGGAACTGTAAACTCTTGTCTCCTGACACACAAGCCAGGGTGGCCAATGTAGGCTCCAGCAAGCTGCCTTCCAGATAGGCAGCTGCCCTGGGCGCTGGTGAATCACACCTGTAATCCTAGCTCCTCAGGAAGCTGAGATCTGAAGATCTCAGGTTGAAGCCAGCTTGGGCAGAAAAATCTAAGAAAATTGTATCTCCAGCTAACCCAGCAAAAAAGCCAGAAACAAAGGTGTGGCTCAAGTAGGAAAACACCAGCCTTGAGCACAAAAGCTAAGCAGGAGCTTAAAGCCCTGAGTTCAAGTCCCAGTACCAACACTACACATACACACACACACACACACACACACACACACATACACACACACACACACACACACACACAGAGAGCATGGATGGCATGTGGGCAGCTGTCAGGATTTAAGGATGATCTGTGACTCCCAGTGCAGTGGGGGTTTCAAAGAATACTGCATGGACTAGCAGCCACACTGGGCACTTGCTAGAAATGCAAAATCAAATGTCCGCCCCAGACTGACCGAGTCAGCAAGTCTGGGGACAGGGTTCCCGCTGGCTCTCCTCACAGCCCCGTGCTCATTCTGAGGCACACTCAAGTTTGAGACCATTCCTCGGTGTGTATGCTCAGGAGCCCTGGCAGCAAAGAAGCCTAAGGTGACATCACTAGGGGGTGAGGAAGGGTGGGGGAAGGGCTAGGAGTGATGGGCAGCATGGGATGTAAGGAGCGGGGCCAAGGGTTCAGGTCACCTCTTGTGAAATTGTGGGGAGACACAAGGACAGGGGTGTTGTGCTGCTGCTCATGTCATGGTGAGCGCACCCCACATTTAGGTGGAGTCAGTGGGACTTGCCTAGATTCTCATGCTTTTACATCCATCAGGCTCTTTTTAGTTCATTTTTCTCACAGTAACCTTTGCTACTGTCAAAAGGTCCGTGTTTGCTGGGTGCTGGCAGCTCACACGTGTAATTTAGCTACTCAGGAGGCTGAGATCTGAGGATCACAGTTCAAAGCCAGCCAGGTCAGGAAAGCCCCATGAGACTCTTATCTCCAATTAACTAGCAAAAAGCCAAAGTGGAGCTATGGCTCAAGCGGTAGAGTGCCAATCTTGAGCTAAAAAGCTAAGAGGCCTTGAGTTCAAGTCCTAATACAGACACAAAAAGAAAAAGAGAAAGAGTTGGTGAGAACATACTGCTTCTACTGGAGGGAGAGCCCAGCAGGGAGAGGCACTGTGGAGCATGCACTGTTGCACTGTGTGGAGTGAAGGAAACTTTGGTGGCCAGGCTAAACCGTGACTCGGAGGAGGCTGTGGAAAGGAGCAAGCAGGTGCATCCAGCAAGGAAGCGCTTTCTTCCTGTGAAAGCGCTGGAATCTGCTGTGCAGGAGGAGGGCACAGGGAAGAGAGGCTGAACCCTTAACTGCATTTCGTAGCAGAGAGCATTTTCTATCTTAATGATTTCACCCTGAGGAAAAACTTTGGAAGATAGAATAGAATGTAGCCAAGTGTTTGGGTTTTATCCTGACGTGGGCTTTGAAGTGTTTTTTAGGAGGAAATGGGAAGGGCATGATTCTCCCCACGCTGCTTCTCACTTCCCATGGCACATGAGCATCACCCCAAGCGCTCGTTAAAGCAAATCGAGGCCATGCCCACTCTGGAGAGGAGTGGGTCTTGGGCTCCCATCACAGAGAGGCTGAAGCTCTGTGGTGAACACTACCTCTGGCTGCCAGAATTCAGGGGGTGGGGACCGAGAATAGATCCAACCAAGAATATCAAGTGACTTGACTTAATACCAGCATTTTGTTTCCCTTTCAGGAATGTCCAAGTCACAGGTGAGTGTTCTTTTTCTTGCTTGCTTTTCCATGTTATAAATTTGGTAGGGTTTTCCTCCTAAACTTTCAAAGCTGTGCTTCATTTACTTAACAAACCATGGCTTGTGTGTCTGTGGAAAGGCTATCCATTTCCTGCTCAGACTTGCTCTCTCTGTGTGGAATGAGGGATATAAGAGAATGGAAATTGTGGGATTTGATTCTGAATGCATCTGAATGCCTACTGATGGGTCACTAAATATACATTGGCTTCTTTCCATGCCATGGATCTAGTTTTGAATATGGACCATCGAGGTGTGTCTCTGATCCCATTCTATTTTCTTTCCGTCAGAGTTGTCTTGGTTACCCCCTCAGTATCTTCTTCATTGTGGTCAATGAGTTCTGTGAAAGATTCTCCTACTATGGAATGAGAGGTAATTTTGTAGGCACTTCTCACCCCTGGGAAGAGTGTGTGTTAGAAAGCCAGTCCTAACTCTGCATCTCCCTCCTCCTCTCCCTCACCTGCCCTGTGTGACAAGCGCTGCTGGTTCTGTACTTCCGGAACTTCATCGGCTGGGATGACAACCTGTCCACAGCCATCTACCACACGTTCGTGGCCCTGTGCTATCTGACGCCAATTCTGGGAGCTCTTATTGCTGACTCGTGGCTGGGAAAGTTCAAGTGAGTGGTTAATGAAACAAGCCAGATATGTAAATGGAAGCTTTGTGCTTTGGGGATGGTGGAGTAGAGAATCAAGAAACAGAAACTTGCCAGGCACTCACTGATGGCTCACACCTGGGCAAGAGAGTCCAGGAGACTCTTATTAACCCCCAGGAAACCAGAAGTGGCGCTGTGGCTCAACTGCTTGCCTTGAGCTGAAGAGCTCAGGGACAGCAGCCGGTCCCAGAGTTCAAGCTCCCTGACCGACAAGAAAGAAAAGAAATAGTGTCAGAGTTCAGGGCTGGCTGCTGAGGGGCTCCGGCTGTCTGTGGGCTTGTGTGGCACGAGGTAGCCAGGACAAGCCCTTTCCTGGTCCCACAGGAAGAGCTCCCAGAGCATATCCACTAGGACAATGCCAGGAAAAGCTTCCTGGAAGTTAACGGAGAAGTAGCAAGGCCGCCAGATTTAACATAGATAGAAACAAGTATACTCACTGTTTCCAAAGAATTCTCTAAAAATTATCAGTGGTTCAGGCTGGCTACCTGTTGTTACCAGTTACAAGATTCGTAACTTGTGCTGTCTGAAGCTATACACACTCATTTCTGAAGCTGGGGAAGGAGGGAGGCAAGCCTTTCAAATGGCTGAAAGAGAAAGCAGATCTTCCACCTTCAGATCCCCAGCCCAAACTTTGCTCTACAGTCCCACCCAGTGTCTTTCTGAGAGTGACCAGTTTTACCCACGTTTGAGCAAGAAGTATCTTCCTGACTTGAGCGCATGTCAATCTTGAAGGAGGGCTCTTATGCTGTTAACTAGGATTCTCTTAACAGAATTCTCTCTGAACAGGACGATTGTATGGCTCTCCGTTGTCTACACCATCGGGCAAGCAGTGATCTCAGTGAGCTCAATCAGTGCCCTCACAGGCCAAAGCCAGGATGGAACCCCTAACAGCCTCCCAGTGCATGTGTGAGTCCGTGTCCCCATTGTCCCTTCTCCCCACTGTCTGCTCATTAGGGCATCTGGTTCTCAGGGAGCGGGGAGGCCTGCCCCTCCATGTTGCTCCACATCGGAGGTGCAGGGAAGGATGATGAATGGACTTCTGTAGCTCACCAGCCTCCTAGAGTTGCTTGCTTTGTGACTTGGTGGCCCTGGGCCTGGGTGGTCACTGCAAGGGAATTCTCATCCCTCTTCATCTTCCCTTGCTCCCTCAGGCTTTGGTTCTTTTTTTTTTTTTTTTTTTTGTCAGTCGTGGAGCTTGAACTCTGGGCCTGGGTGCTGTCCCTCAGCTCTTCAGCTCAAGGCGAGCGCTCTACCACTTGAGCCACA